ATACAAAAACAAGACCCATATATATGCTGTCTACAAGAGACCCACTTCAGACCTCGGGACACATACAGACTGAAAGTGAGGGGATGGAAAAAGATATTCCATGCAAATGGAAATGAAAAGAAAGCTGGAGTAGCAATACTCATATCAGATAAAATAGACTTTAAAATAAAGAATGTTACAAGAGACAAGGAAGTACACTACATAATGATCAAGGGGTCAATCCAAGAAGAAGATATAACAATTATAAATATATATGCACCCAACATAGGAGCACCTCAATACATAATGCAACTTGCTAACAGCTATAAAAGAGGAAATCCACAGCAACACAATAATAGTGGGGGACTTTAACACCTCACTTACACCAACGGACAGATCATCCAAACAGAAAATTAATAAGGAATCCCAAGCTTTAAAAGACACAACAGACCAGATAGATTTAATAGATATTTATAGGACATTCCATCCAAAAACAGCAGATTACACTTTCTTCTCAAGTGCGCACGGAACATTCTCCAGGATAGATCACATCTTGGGTCACAAATCAAGCCTCAGTAAATTTAAGAAAATTGAAATCATATCAAGCATCTTTTCTGACCACAATGCTATGAGATTAGAAATGAATTACAGGGAAAAAACCGTAAAAAACACAAACACATGGAGGCTAAACAATACGTTACTAAATAACCAAGAGATCACTGAAGAAATCAAAGAGGAAATCAAAAAATACCTAGAGACAAATGACAATGAAAACACGATGATCCAAAAATCTATGGGATGCAGCAAAAGCAGCTCTACGAGGGAAGTTTATAGCAATACAAGGCTACCTCAAGAAACAAGAAATATCTCAAATAAACAATCTAACCTTACACCTAAAGGAACCAGAGAACGAAGAACAAACAAAACCCAAAGTTAGCAGAAGGAAAGAAATCATAAAGATCAGAGCAGAAATAAATGAAATAGAAACAAACAAAAAAAAATAGCAAAGATCAATAAAACTAAAAGCTGGTTCTTTGAGAAGATAAACAAAATTGATAAACCATTAACCAGACTCATCAAGGAAAAGAGGGAGAGGACTCAAATCAATAAAATTAGAAATGAAAAAGGAGAAGTTACAACAGACACCAAAGAAATACAAATCAACCTAAGAGACTACTACAAGCAACTCTATGCCAATAAAATGGACAACCTGGAAGAAATGGACAAAGTATCAGAAAGGTATAACCTTCCAAGACTGAACCAGGAAGAAATAGAAAATATGAACAGACCAATCACAAGTCATGAAATAGAAACTGTGATTAAAAATCTTCCAACAAACAAAAGTCCAGGACCAGACGGCTTCACAGGTAAATTCTAACAAACATTTAGAGAAGAGCTAACATGCATCCTTCTCAAACTCTTCCAAAAAATTGAAGAGGAAGAAACACTCCCAAACTCATTTTACGAGGCCACCATCACCCCGATACCAAAACCAGACAAAGATACCACAAAAAAAGAAAATTACAGACCAATATCACTGATGAATATAGATGCAAAAATCCTCAACAAAATACTAGCAAACAGAATCCAACAACATATTAAAAGGATCATACACCATGATCAAGTGGGATTTATCCCAGGGATGCAAGGATTCTTTAGTATATGTAAATCAATCAATGTGATACACTATATTAACAAATTGAAGAATAAAAACCAGATGATCATCTCAATAGATGCAGAAAAAGCTTTTGACAAAGTTCAACACCCATTTATGATAAAAACTCTCCAGAAAGTGGGCATAGAGGGAACCTACCACAACATAATATACGACAAACCACAGCATACATCATTCTCAATGGTGAAAAACTGAAAGCATTTCCTCTAAGATCAGGAACGAGACAAGGATGTCCACTCTCACCACTATTATTCAACATAGTTTTGGAAGTCCTAGCCATGGCAATCAGAGAAGAAAAAGAAATAAAAGGAATCCAAGTTGGAAAAGAAGAAGTAAAACTGTCACTGTTTGCAGATGACATGATACTATACATAGAGAATCCTAAAGATGCCACCAGAAAACTACTAGAGCTAATCAATGAATCTGGTAAAGTTGCAGGATACAAAATTAACGCACAGAAATCTCCTGCATTCCTATACACTAAGGATGAAAAATCTGAAAGAGAAATTAAGGAAACACTCCCATTTACCACTGCAACAAAAAGAATAAAATACCTAGGAATAAACCTACCTAGGGAGACAAAAGACCTGTATGCAGAAAACTATAAGACACTGATGAAAGTAATTAAAGATGATACAAACAGATGGAGAGATATATACCGTGTTCTTGGATTGGAAGAATCAATATTGTGAAAATGACTATACTACCCAAAGTAACCTATAGATTCAATGCAATCCCTATCAAATTACCAATGGCATTTTTTACAGAACTAGAACAAAAAATCTTAAAATTTGTATGGAGACACAAAACCCCCAAATAGCCAAAGCGGTCTTGAGGAAAAAAAAAATGGAGCTGGAGGAATCAGACTTCCTGACTTCAGACTACACTACAAAGCTACAGTAATCAAGACAATATAGTACTGGCACAAAAACAGAAATATAGATCAATGGAACAGGATAGAAAGCCCAGAGATAAACCCATGCACCTGTGGTCAACTAATCTATGACAAAGGAGGCAAGGATATACAATGGAGAAAAGACAGTCTCTTCAATAAGTGGTGCTGGGAAAACTGGAGAGCTACATGTAAAAGAATGAAATTAGAACACACAATACACAAAAGTAAACTCAAAATGGATTAGAGACCTAAATGTAAGACTGGACACTATAAAACTCTTAGAGGAAAACATAGGAAGAACACTCTTAATCACAGCAAGATCTTTTTTGATCCACCTCCTAGAGTAATGGAAATAAGAAGAAAAATAAACAAATGGGACTTAATGAAACTTAAAAGTTTTTGCACAGCAAAGGAAACCGTAAACAAGATGAAAAGACAACCCTCAGAATGGGAGAAAATATTTGCAAACAAATCAATGGACAAAGGATTAATCTCCAAAATATATAAACAGCTCATGCAGCTCAATATTAAAAAAACAAACAACCCAATCAAAAAATGGGCAGAAGACCTAAATAGACATTTCTCCAAAGACATACAGATGGCCAAGAAGCACATGAAAAGCTGCTCAACATCACGAATTATTAGAGAAATGCAAATCGAAACTACAATGAGGTATCACCTCACACCAGTTAGAATGGGCATCATCAGAAAATCTACAAACAACAAATGCTGGAGAGGGTGTGGAGAAAAGGGAACCCTCTTGCACTGCTGGTGGGAATGTAAATTGATATAGCCACTACGGAGAACAGTATGGAGGTTCCTTACAAAACTAAAAATCGAATTACCATATGACCCAGCAATCTCAGTACTGGGCATATACCCAGAGAAAACCATAGTCCATTCTTTCAGCTATTTTTCTATGCTTATTGTGGACACAGTTTATGCTCGTTGGTGATAGGGCTTTTAAAGTTGGAGGATAACTTTTGTCCATGGACAGAATACTCCAAAAATATTGGTATTTTATTTAATACTTGATTTTTGAAACATTTATCTATAAACAGAACTTTGAAAAATAAATTTTAATATTTAAACATTGCTTGCACACTTCATTAAATTTCCTTAAATAATCTAAACTGTAATCACAAGTTTAATATGATGATTCTTTTGAATACAATTTAAACAGTACACAAAAGGAACACAAATACAATGATTACAAGACTTACTGTCATTATACGTAAATCTGTTTTAACACACCAATAACATGGATTTAATCACTTTGTTGGTTTCTACTTGTTCTGGTTTTTCTCTAGGAATAAGATATTTTCTCAAGGTTGCTAAAATACTTCTTTTGATGTTTTCTTGGTGTTATCAAAATCTTGCCAGATTCCCTCATATCCCACAAAGAATATTGTGGGATATGATTCTCAGATCCTTGAATGCACTGAGGCTACAGAATAGGGCTTCTCAGCAGATTGATTCACACTTGGGGCTCTGAAGCTTGATGTTTCTTCCAAGGAGCTATCTTTGCTTCAGTAAAACTTCTCCTGTTACCCCGAATAGTCTTTAAATGTTTGCATCTTCTGCATGTTTTTAATTTCTGCAATCTCTTTCTCCTCTGAAATGACGGATTCCTTTAGTTTCACTTGGCTAGAGTTATGGAACTCCTGGTTTTGTCATTATGATAATTGACTTGCTTTGTTAGTATTATTTAAAAATTATACGTGCATTCCTAATGTCTTATGGTTAAGGTGGCGTCTAGCGGATTTTCCTTCTCTTTAGGACATTTGGCTAATTCAGCATCTCAGGACTCCCTTTCTCCTTGGTCACAGAGTGTGAGTACCAGTGTTGGTTAACTGGTTGGATCTCCTTTCTACCTGGTTATCATGTGCAGCCACATGGCGCTGATCAGTCTTTCCTGTTCTTGGAACAGTTATTTTTTCCTGGGACTACTTGGCTCCCAAATGCTGCTGGGTCCCGTCTCCTTGCCGTCTTCATCCTCCCTTGCAGCCTTGAGCACGACCCTTGGCAGTGGTAAACCAACTTGGGAGGCGCGCGCGCGCGCGCGCGTGTGTGTGTGTGTGTGTGTGCGCGCGCGCGCTTAGATGGAGGGGGCCTCCAGCCACTCCCACCATCTGTCTTCCGGGCCAGGCGTCGATTCCTTCTTCCTGCATGTTTTCTGCCCAAATCCGCATCTGCTTCCCCCTACCATCCTCCTCCCACCTCTGCGCCCCCTACCCCCCCCCCCGGGGGCCCCGCCTTCTTGGAATAAGGGCTGAGCTCTCGGCTGCGCGGAGCTGAGGACCCCAGAGCGCGGCCAGGCGGGGTTGGTTGGAGACCTGCCACCCACACCCCGAACTCCGCCAGGCTTCGGAGGGGCGTGGTCTCGGGCCCAGTTGTTTAGCGCATCCACTCTTCTTCCCGCTCAGAAGGGGCGAAACTTCTTTGGGCAAGATGGGTCTCTACCGCGTCCGCGTGTCCACCGGGTCCTCGCTCCGCGCGGGCTCCAACAACAAGGTGCAGCTGTCGCTGGTCGGCCAGCACGGGGAGGCTGCGCTCGGGTGGCGCCTGCGGCCGATGAGGGGCAAGGTGAGCTGGCCGGAGCCGAACGGGGTGGGCTGCGCTCCTGGCCCCAAGGCCCGCAAGTCCCCGGGAAGAGACGCGCCGCAGCCGGCCTCCAGCTCCTCCCAGCGGCTCCGGGCGCACGCCCCACGCGCGGAGAGGGCTAGGAGACCGCGGGAGTAAAGCGCTTTAGGGTGGGACGCGGCACACGGTAACTGCTCAATAAATGTTCCCGCCGCCCACCCTCCTTGGAATTGGGGTAGTCTTGCGCGCCCGTCGTTCCACAGAAGTCTGTTTTTGGAAACTCAAGGGTCCTTAGAGCGGCCGTCCGTCTCCTGTCTCCTCTTCTTAAAAGCTACTATTTCAGATCTTCACAGATCTTCTCCGACCTTGCGGGCTTTATCTCTGGGATGTGGCGGGGATGCGGACGCAGGAAGGGGGGGGAGAAGAAGCCGAGTGATGAGAGCATTCGATTTCCCCACCCACCCCCTCTCCCATCACATCTACCTGGTATTCGCTCCCGGCTCCTGTTACATTTTGCCTCCGCCGACCCCCAGATTCCCATCTCCCGTCCAGCTCTCTCCAAGATCCACAGATCTGATGTCTAGCCCATGGACGCTTCAAAGGACCATGCTCAAGTGAGGTCCTCCCCTCTCTCCATGTCCCAGACCGCTTCCCTTGTATCCCCCAGGTGCACTCCCACCTCCGCCTCTCTTCGCCTCCGTCTAACCAAGAATCGATCGCTGTCCAGTCCATCTCTTAGACATCTCTGGCATCCATACCCTGATGTCCATCCCACTCTGACCACCAATGTCCCCTCGAACCTACGCCACCTTCATTCTCTTCACCCGCCTCACCGCTTGCGCCCCTGCCCTTCCAAGCCCTTCTACAGTCAGAGCGATTTCTTCCCAATACATTCCCATCCTTAAAATATTCCCCCGACTGAAAACATGTGAATGGCTTCCGCTTACTCTCAGCACCAAGCCAAAGCTCTTGGCTTAACCTTCCAGACTACGATCTGGTCCTGCTCATCTGCCCACACCTCGCGCTCAGCGCTGCAGCTCCGCGACGCCGCTCGCCCGGGCTTGGCCTCTGCTCTCCCCGCTTCCCCTCCCGGGCCTGCCTTTCCCCCACCTTTTCCTCTTTCTCATTCTCCCCGGCTAAGCCCTTTCCACCTGTGCGTCTCCGCTTAGACGGGATGTCCTCGGGGAAGCTTGCTCCGGGCTGGGTGGGGCCTCTGTCGGCGCTCAGCCTTGGTGACGGGGTCGAGGGGACAGTGTAACTGCCTGGTCACCAGTGCGCTCGCCCATGGCGCGGTGGGGGTGCCCAGTGCCCAGCCCAACGCTCGGCACAATCAGTGACTACAGGGAGGAGTGCCCCTCTCCATCTTCCGTCTCCCGCCTCACCCGGGGCTGAGGAACTCACGACCAAGAATGAGGTCGTGGAGGCACCGGCTCGGTGCGCGGCCCCTTCCTCTCCGGCTCCTTTTGCGCCGCTTTCCCAGAGGCCCAGAGGGAAGGGCGTCCAGAGCTCAGTCCGAGGATTCCTTCCAGAGAGCCCCTCTTGTTGACCCTCTTTTGTCGCGGGCAGGAGGCGGAATTCGAGGTGGACGTGTCAGAGTACCTGGGGCCGCTGCTGTTCGTGAAACTGAGCAAATGGCACCTCCTTCAGGATGACGCGTGGCTCTGCAACTCGATCTCCGTGCAGGGCCTCGGGGCCAGTCGGGACGAGTTCAGGTTCCCATGCTACCGCTGGCTGGAGCAAAGGCATCCTGAGCCTACCCGAGGGCACTGGTGAGCAGCGCGGGGGCTTGGGGGTGTGAGAGGCCTCCGGGGGCACGAGAGAAGTTGGGGGTGGGGGAGCGAAGAAGGGGGCGTGGTCTTTGGGGATCACGGAAGAGGCGGGATGCTGGAGCTGGCACAGAGCAGCATGGAGACTGGGGGTGTGCAGTGATGCTGAAGGGTCAGGGGCCAGCCGCAAGGGCGGGCTGAGGGACCCTTGGCAGGGACAGGGGAGAGGCTCTCAGGAGGAGCCTCATGGCCCATGCCCTCCTCCCCACTTCTAGGTCGCACAGTGGTCGACGACCCTCAAGGCCTGTTCAAGAAACAGAGGGAAGAAGAACTGGAAGAGAGAAGGAAGCTGTACCGGTCTCCGCCCCACTCCCACTTCCTGACCCCCAGGGAGCCACTGACCCTTCCCCAGTACCAATGCCTGGTTTCATTTCCACCGCAGGTGGGGTAACTGGAAGGATGGCTTAATCCCGAATATGGCCGGGGCCACAATATGTGACCTCCCCATAGATGAGAGATTTCTGGAGGACAAAAGAATTGACTTTGAGGCTTCGCTGGTCAAGGGGTAAGAACAAGGCATGCTGGGTGACAGGGAGCTGTCCTGGTCCAGTGGAGGCCAGTGGGTTTATGGACTTCACAGGGCTGGACCAGCCCAAGGTGGATGCGTGGGGCTGTAATGTTTGATTCTGAGAATAACAAACTCTTCGCCCACCCTTTCCTGAAGGCTGGCAGACCTAGCCATCAAAGACTCTTCAAATATTCCGACTAGCTGGAACAGTCTGGATGACTTCAACAGGATTTTCTGGTATGGCCAGAGCAAGTTGGCTGGTTAGTGCCCCTACCCCAGTATTTCTCTCGGGACTCTTACCCCCAGATCCTACCCAGTCTAGGGAACCATGGTTGGGAGACCAGAGGCCTGGGCCTCTCCAATAGGCTGGGGTCAAGTGGGGATGGTTTGGTGGGGGTTGGAAAGACCAGGAGCTCAGATCCCACAGAAAACTGCACAAATGCCATCCCCAGAGCGGGTGCGGGACTCCTGGAAGGAGGATGCCTTATTTGGGTACCAGTTTCTCAATGGCTCCAACCCCATGTTGCTGAGATGCTCTAATCACCTTCCTGCCCGCCTAGAGTTTCCTCCAGGGATGGAGGAGCTGCAGGCCCAGCTGGAGAAGGAGCTCCAGGTATGGACGTAAGAGCCCTAAGGAGACCACACAGTGAAATGGGGGTGGGGTGTTTGCGCTGCTGCAGGGTCTACCGTGGGCCCAGCTTGCTGCCAAATGGCAAGATGGGATTCTACAGCAGAAATCTTTTTTTTTTTTTAATATTTATGTATGTATGTAAGTATTTATTTAGCTGTGCTGGCTCTTAGTTGTGGCATGTAGGATCTTCGTTGCAGCACGTGGGATCTTTAGTTGTGGCATGTGGGCTCCTTTAGTTGCAGCATACGGGATCTAGTTCCCTGACCAGGGATCGAACCTGGGCCCCCTGCATTGGGAGCACAGAGTCTTAACCACTGGACCACCAGGGAAGGGCCTACAGCAGAAATCTTGAGTGATCCTGGAAGGGTGCCCCTCCATGGCTTTCCTCTCCTAAGGAGAATAGCGTGCTGTGGAGGAAGAGTATGTGATGGGTGACAGAGACAGAGTCAAAATGAAGAGCTGTAACTGGGTGCTAGGGACTTAGGGAGAGTGCGGAGTAAGAGAATCAGAGTCAGGGCTGAGGCTGTTGATGGGGAGTCAGCATGGAACTAATAAGAGAAAACTCATGGGATTTAGGGTGAGACAGACTTGAGCTTGAATCCTGGCTCTGCTGTTTATAAGCTGTGTGACTTCAGGCAAGGTATCTATCCTCTCTGATACATCTGTTTCCTCTTTTATAGAACTGGGGCTAATTCAAGTGCATCTAAGAATTATATGAGGCAATAAGCACATGATCCATTACCTGGTAGGAAGTAGGTGATGGAGACAAATTAGTTTCCTTCTTCCTTCGGGGAATCACAGTGGGAAGATGTCTTATGCTGATAGCAGCCAGCCCTTGCTCTCTGCCCCCATCCAGGGAGCCATGCTATTTGAAGCTGACTTCTCCTTGCGGGATGGGATCAAGGCCAACGTCATCCTGTGTAGCCAGCAGTACCTGGCTGCTCCTCTGGTTATGCTGAAACTGCAGCCTGATGGGAAACTCTTACCCATGGTCATCAGGTGAGAGGACCCAGGCTGTAAGGGAGCGGCAGCCGTCAGATGGAGAACGCTAAGCAACTTTGGAGGAAGAGGAAGAGCTTAAGCATGCAAGGGAAGGGGAGTCTGTTGTGCACTGGCCCTCACCCCTCCCAAATCCCACTTCTGTCCCTCTTCCAGCTCCAACTGCCATGCAAGGGGTCTCCCCCACCACTGCTTGTCCTGCCCACGGATCCCCCGATGGCCTGGCTCCTGGCCAAATGTTGGGTCCACAGCTCTGACTTCCAGCTTCACGAGCTGCAGTCTCATCTCCTACGGGGACACTTGGTGGCTGAGGTCATTGCTGTGGCCACCATGAGGTGCCTTCCATCGATACATCCTATGTTCAAGGTAACACTTTATCCCCCCCTCCTCCCCTGCTCTCTGCCCCACAGAGTGGTCCCACCTCTGGAAGCACCTTCTCTGTGGAATCTCAGCTTTTGGGAAGAAGCAACCAATAAAAGACAAATGAACAATGGCGCGAGAGCATGGCTTGCTCTGCATTTCTAACAGGGTGATATCACTTCTCGAGGAGGTGAAAATGATTCATTGACGGGGTGGAGAGTGGTGGGAGGGTGAGGGAGTCGGGGGCAAGAAGTCTTACTCTTTTTATGTATAAAGCACAGATACACATACAGGATAGAAACAGAATACACAATTGACTGAGGATTCCACCCAGGGAGAGGGGACCATGCAAATAATATAAAAGATTTCTCCAGCCAGTTTTGAAGGGTTCCCAGATAGTAACACATAGGCCAGTTAGAGGGGCTCAGGTCAGCGACAGTAGCTGACAGTTAGAACACAGTGTTCGTCCATTAACGTTTTTCTTGGGTGTCTCTGATGGGGCAAATAACCATTCTAGATGACGGTGCTAAGCAAGACAGCCAAGGTCCTAGTCTCTGGGGATTTTCCTATCCATTACGGGCTAACAGATGGTGAAGACCGTATTGTAATAGATCAGCTGTGGTGAGTACACTGCAGAGGATAAGAGCAGGGTGATGTGATAGTGAGTTTAGACTGGGTGGTCGGGAAAGGCTCCTTTCAGGACGTGACAGAGAGAATGAAATTACACAGAGCCAGCCATGAGCACAGCAAGGCGCACATTGCTCTAGGCAGAGGGAACAGCTTAGTGCCAAGGTCCTGACTCAGGAACAAGGTGAGTATAATGGACAAAGCGGAGGGTAGGAGATGGAGTTCTGGAGGTAGCAGATTAGACCATGTTCTGGAGGGCAAAAAATTATTTTTATGTATAAAGCACATATATATTTACAGGAGGTAACAGATATATAGTATATCTGTAGAACTAAAATTTCATGGGGCAGGTAAGAGTACAAAAAATATCAAAAAAGCCTCCTTGGAGAAGTGATAATGAAAACAAAGGTGGGGAAACATTGAGCTAGACCTTGAACAGTCTTACATGAAGAGAAAAGGAGAACGATTTCTTTCAATGATCAAAGAGCATCAAGTCAGTGGTGTTGAGGGGCCACTGGACTTCAGTCCCTGCTTTTCCCGAAGACCTGGTACCTTTCCTGCTTTTCAGCCCCTATTTCCTGCAGGGACGGTCCACAGCTGTCTTCTGACCCTGCCCTTCCCTGTTCCTCTCCCTCCAGCTTCTCATTCCGCACATGCGATATACCATGGAAATTAACCTCAGGGCCAGGACTGGGCTGGTCACTGATTTGGGAATTTTCGACCAGGTATGAGGAGAGAAAGGGGGCGGTTCTGGAGTTCACACTCCTTCTGGCTCTGGCCGCGGGGCAGGTGGACTGGCCTGACCCCGCCTGTCCTTGCTCCTCAGGTGGTGAGCACAGGTGGGGGCGGCCAAGTGGAGCTGTTCAAGAGAGCAGGAGCCTTTCTAACCTATAGCTCTTTCTGCCCCCTGATGACCTGGCTGAGCGGGGGCTCTTGGAAGTCAAGTCTCCTTTCTATGTGCAAGATGCCCTTCAGCTCTGGGAAATCATCTCTCAGTGAGGTAGCAGGGGGCGGTAAGGACGGGGAGGAAGCTGGGGAAACAGGAGGTCTGTGGCCCAGCTGGGGGGCTGCACGGGCAAGGAGCAGAAGGCCTGGGGGCTCCCTGTCGTCAGTCTCAGCTCCCCCGCCCTGACCCCTCCACTGGCAGCTATGTGGAGGGCATTGTGAGTCTCCACTGTAAGACGGACAAGTCTGTGAAAGAGGATCTTGAGGTGCAGGCCTGGTGTCGAGAGATCACTGAGATTGGGCTGCTAGGAGCCCAGGACCGAGGTAGGATGAGCCCCGAGACCCCAGCACATGATTTCTCCCTAGAACTTCCCCAGAATCCTCTCTACTTCTATGGAACCTTCCAGAAGCATTCCCAACCCCTATGAAAACACCCAAAGCCTTCCCAGATTCCTTTTCCTCTCAGCTAGAAGCAGGTCTCCATCCTGTGCACTGAGAGCCCCTCTAGGTCCCAGATGCAGTGGGACCAGTGGTTGCTCATAAATGTTTAACTGGCTCCCTGGGGGAAAAAAAATGCCCCGATTTGTAGCATTTGCCCATTTCCATGGTGTAAATATTGTACTGTGGCTACCAAGGTGATGTCAACCAGCTTGCTAAATACTTGAACATTTGACATCATTGACTCTTGTGAGCCACACCAGCACCTCACTGAGTGGGACCCTCCCCAAAGATCTCCCTGCTTCCACCACCCCAACCCACGCTCGTCTCACTTCCCACAGCAGTTACTGAGAGTCCTTGTTGCTCTTCTTACCTCTCTTGTTCTCCCCCTCAGTCCCTCTGAACTCTGCCTCTATCCTTGGCCTCACAGCTGCTAACTCTCCTTACCCCTTGCAGGGTTTCCCATAGCCCTACAGTCCAAGGACCAGCTTTGCCACATTGTGACCACGTGCATCTTCACCTGCACTGGCCAGCACAGCTCCAACCACCTGGGCCAGGTACTTATCATAGGGGGGCAGCTGGGCATTTGTGCCTGGAGGGGGAAGGGGGCTGTGTGCAGGTGGTCTTAGGGGTTTTCATGTTTAGTAGACATTGACTGCCCCTCCTTAGCTCGACTGGTACGCTTGGGTCCCTAACGCACCCTGCACGATGCTGCTGTCCCCGCCAACCACCAAGGATGTGACACTGGAGACAGTGATGGCAACACTGCCCAACTTTCATCAGGCTTCTCTCCAGATATCCATCATTTGGCAACTGGGCAGACGCCAGTCCATCATGGTGAGAGCCAGGTGCCCGGGTCCCCGAGGAAGGGGGCAGGTACTGGGAGCTGCGGCACTCCAGACTGAGGGTCAGAGAAGCTCTCAGCTGCCTTTTTCCCCGCTGTCCAGGTGGCTCTGGACCAACATGAGGAGGAGCATTTTTCGGTCCCTGAGCCCAAGGCTGCGCTGAAGAAATGCAGGGAGGAGCTGGCTGCCCTGGAAGAGGGCACTGAGATCCGGAATGCCAAGCTGGACTTGCCCTACGAATACCTGCAGCGCAGCCTGGTGGAAAACAGTGTGGCCATATGAGTGCCCCAAGCCTTGGGTTGTTTCAGCCCCCTTCCACCCAAGCCACACCCATCCCCTAACCCATCCTCTTCCCAACTCCCATCGTGGGGAGTCTTGCCCTCCCCAAACCCCATCCTCTTCCCAACTCCCATCGTCCCCAAAGTCACCTTTTCATTGTCTGTGCCCACTGGGAACAAATTTTACTCCAGATGCAGAACCTAGGGACCTTGCCCCTATTTCTTCCGCCTCACCCCCACCCCTTCTGAATGCTTGATCTTTCAGATCACCCATAGGGCAGGTTAACAGCCACATTTTTTTCTTTTTTTTGCGGTTCGCGGGCCTCTCACTGTTGTGGCCTCTCCTGTTGCAGAGCACAGGCTCCGGATGCGCAGGCTCAGCGGCCATGGCTCACGGGCCCAGCCACTCTGCGGCATGTGGATCTTCCTGAACCGGGGCACAAACCCGTGTCCCCTGCATCGGCAGGCGGACTCTCAACCACCGCACCACCAGGGAAGCCCCAACAGCCACATTTATACAAACAGTTTCAAGAATAGAATAGGGTGATAATGAATGAATGAACCTTTTATGAATCAAATATGATTCTGAACCTAAATTCAGTTAATGACAGGAAAAAGATATTTTAGACTAATGAAAGAATTTAGTCCAAACCATGCTAAATCAAATATTGGCAAAAGAGTATATAGCACATCTTTCTAACTGGATGGGATTCACTGCTTGTCCTGAGACCAGTCGCAATACAAAGCAAACCATTAACACAGCAATTCTCAAGATTTTCATTTCACGACTCACTTAGAAAGTGATAAATGGAAGTAAACTGGTTAAACTGCAGAAGCTGCTCTCAGCTGGAGGTATTTGGCCTCAGGGTTTTGCCCAGGGGATCCATATCGATAATCCATTTGCACTTCATCAGTTGGAAAGCTCCAAGTAAAAATGATTAACTGGAAAAGTACTAAAAATCTCATTATTTTAAGGGGGGACAACAAAGGAGTCAATAAAATCCAACTTCTGTATCTGATTAAAAGTTTGGAAAAACAAACTTGGAAGTTTGATTTCTTAATATGATCATCTGTGGATATTGTAAAACAGAAACTAACAGTAAACACAAACCAGAATTGTTTCCTTTACAGTACGATCAAAGTTGCTTCCTGCCTCTGATTCTATTTAATTTGGCAGAAGACATATGGGTGATGCTTCGTCTGACTCTTGAAGGAAGAATAGGAAATACAGAGTTGAGAGGCTGGGGTAGAATATAATGCTGGGATCCAGAAGAACCCACAAGGAGGTGAGAGAGCATGGCGCAGCTTCACACCAGAAATAATGCAGTCTAGCGAGTGAGAGAAGTGGTGGTGGGAAGGGGTGGTCTCATGAGGAACATGTTTCACGCCAGGAAATTAGGCTTGACCTTTAGGAAACAGCCACTGAGGGATTATAAGTAAGGGTATAACAGGATCCTGGAAGTCACACTCACAGAGGCACCTCCTTCTCCTTGGAGGCCACACCCTCTTCTCATTGGAGACCAAACCCCTTCTTAGAGGCCACACCCTCTTCTCATTGGAGGCCACACCCTCTTCTCCTTGGAAGTCACAAGAAGGCAGTGACCAAGTGAACAAGGGCTGAATCTTGGGCAGACAGGCCCTGGGCAGGAGTACACAGCAGTTTGTTTCCCAGTGAAAGGGCCTGGGCTCTGGCGACTCCACACCGCAGCTTAGCGCTAGGTGTGGGGCAGACAGACCCAGGAGAAGTCTGTCACAGCAGCAGTCCAGATCTCAGGCAGCAGTATAGTTACCTCAATTCCTGCAGCCACAACACCCTTGACCCCCCAAGCCCCAGCCCACTCCACACCACAGACTTGTACTAGATCAGGGAGGAACACAACAGAGAAAGGGGTGCGACCCTGGGCTGCTTCTGAGTGGAACCACGGATGCCTACACAGGTGGCGCAGAGCTTCTCTGTGACTACACGGGCCTCACTTGCTTCAACAACCACCTCCTGGGAGAGAGAGCCTGACTGAACCTGACTCTCAGGGCCTCTACTCCGGAAGCTGGGGAGCAGACCCCACCCTGACAGGATGGAGACAGCCATGGAGCAAAGAGGAAGCCCCGCCCAATATCCAGCACAGGGTCTGGACACCACAACACCATCCACACCCCCTATACCAAGGGGTTAGCTGCCAGCATGCTCTGAGGAAAGACATGGCTGGCATCCATACCAAAACCAGCACTCGGGACTTTCCTGGCAGTCCAGTGGTTAGGACTCCATGCTTTCACTGCCATGGCCTGGGTTCAATCCCTGGTCAGGGAACTAAGATCCTGCAAGCCACGCAGCATGGCAAAACAACAACAACAACAAAAGCCAGCCCTCGCACCAAAAATAATGGACCCACACGGTCTACAAAGGGATACTCTCACATAAAAACAACCTGCAAGACCACAGTAGATAACTGTTTCTCCTGAATTCCTAGAGACAGAAAAAGTTAAGTAAAATGAAAAAGCAGAGGAACTACTCCCAATTAAAAGAACAAAATAAATCCCCTGAAAGAACAAATAATGAAACAGACCTCACCAGTCCACCAGACCCCAAGTTAAAAAAGGAGGCAATAAAAATGCTAAAGGAGTAGAACAGAGATTGGCAAAACATTGTAAATCAACTATACTTCAATTAAAAAATGTTTAAAAATGCTAAGGGAATTAAGAAATTATCAACTGAAATGCAGATCACTGTAACAAGGAAATAGAAACTATAAAGATGAACCAAAGTTAGACAATTCAACTGCTTAGACCAATCTAGAAGGAAGGAATAGCAGACTAAATGACACAGAAGAATGAATAAGTGATCTAGAAGATAGAATAATGGAAATTACCCAAACAGAATGACAGGAAGACAAATAAAAAAAAAAAGAAAAAGAAAACAATATATGAGATCTATGGGGTAATATAAAGCGTGCCAACCTATGCATAATAGGGGTTCCAGAAGGAGATGAGAGAGAGAGAAGGGGATGGAAAATGTATTTGAATAACATCCAGTCATGATAAAAACTCTCACCAAAGTGTGGGCATAGAGGGAACGTATCTCAATGTAATAAAAGCCACTTATGACAAACCCACAGCTGACACAATATTCAATGGTGAAAAAGACAAGGATGCCCACTCTTACCACTTCTATTCCTTCTTTTTTTTTTTTTTTTTTTCCCCCCTCATCCTTTTTTTTTTTTTTTGGCCACACTGCACAGTTTGTGGGATCTTAGTTCACCGACCAGGGACTGAACCTGGGCCACAGCAGTGAAAGCAAAGCATCCTAGCCACTGGACTTCCAGGGAACTCCCTCACCACTTCTATTCAACATAGTATTGGAAGTCCTAGCCACAGCAATCAGACAAGAAAAAGAAATAAAAGGTACACAAATTGGAAGGGAAGAGGTAAAACTGTCACTATTTGCAGATGACATGATACTCAATATAGAGGACCCTGAAATCTCCACACAAAAACTATTAGAATTAATAAATGAATTTAGCAAGGTAGCAGGATATGAGACTAATATACATAAATCTGTTGCATTTCCTTACACTAATAATGAAATATCATAAAGAGCAAGCAAAAAACAATCTCATTTAAAATCATGTCAGAAAAATAAAATACCTAGGAATCAACTTAACCAAGGAGGTGAAATACCTATATGCTGAAAACTATAAAACATTGATAAAGGAAAATGAATATGATTCAAAGAAATGGAAAGATATCCCATTGAATATTCTCTTGAATTGAAAGAATTAATATTGTTAAAATGGCCATACTACCCAAAGCAATCTACAGATTTAATGTAATCCCTATCAAAATATAAATGACATTTTTCACAGAACTACAACAAATAATCCTAAAATTTACATGGAACCACAAAAGGCCCAGAATTGCCAAAGCAATCCTGAGGAAAAAGAACAAAGCTGGAGACATAACCCTTCCAGACCTCAGACTATACTACAAAGCTTTAGTAATCAAAAGAGCGTGGTTTTGGCACAAAAACAGACATATAGGTCAATGGAACAGAGTAGAGAGCCCAGAAATAAACCCACACACCTATGGTTAATTAATCTATGACAAAGGAAGCAAGCCTATACAATGGAGAAAAGATAGTCTCTTCAACAGTGGTGTTGGGAAAGCTGGATAGCTATAGGTAAATCAATGAAATTAGAACACTTCCTCACCCCATATATAAAAATAAACTAAAAATTGTTTAAAGACCTAAATATAAGACATGAAACTTTAAAACTCCCAAAAGAGAGCATAGGTAAAACATTCTTAGACATAAATCACAGCAATATTTCCTTAGATCAGTCTCCCAAGGCAAAAGAAATTAAACGAAAAATAAACACATGGGACCTAATCAAACTTCAAAGCTTTTGCACAGCAAAGAAAACTATCAACAAAATGAAAGGACAACATACGGAATGGCAGAAAATATATGCAAACAATGTGGCCAACAAGGGGTTAATATCCAAAATATAAAAACAGCTCATACAACTCAATATCAGAAAAGCAAACAACCCAATTTAAAAAATGGACCAAAGGGACTTCCCTGGAGGTCCAGTGGTTAAGACTTCGCCTTCCAGTGCAGGGGGTGCGGGTTTGATCCCTAGTCAGGGAGCTAGGATCCCACATGCTTCGCAGCCAAAAAACCAAAACATAAAATAGAAGCAATATTGTAACAAATTCAATAAAGACTTTAGAAAGCAATGGACTGAAGACCTAAATAAATATTTCACCAAAGAAAACACACAAATGACCAACAGGCACATGAAAAGATGCTCAACGTTGTTAATTATTCAAGAAATGAAAATCAAAATCACAATGAGGTATTACATCACACCAGTCAGAATGGATGTCATCAAAAAGTCTACAAATAATAGGGTTTCCCTGGTGGCGCAGTGGTTAAGAGTCCGCCTGCCGATGCAGGGGACACGGGTTCGTGCCCTGGTCTGGGAAGATCCCACATGCCGCAGAGAGGCT